CGATGCTCACTCCTGTTCCGAGGAACAACACGTCCAGCGTGCCTTTCCACCCAGAGCTGGAGGCCCTTGAAGTAGTTAAAGGTCCGGTAGAGGTCGTTTTCTCCGAAGGCGTACGCGGGGACAATGGGGCAGTCGTAGCGGAGGGCGAGCTTGCAGAATCCCTTTCGAGGCAGGACCACCACCAGGTCCCTCCCTCGCTCAGTGAGGATCTGCTCTTTCTCCCCCCCCACGTAGATGAGAGAGGAGAAGCCTCGCTCGAGTATTGCATTCGCCGTGGCGGCGCCGGCGTCCACGCATCCGACCCAGAGCAAGACCTCCTTGACCAGGGGAATGAAGAAAAGGACAGTGGCCCCGAGGTCGAGGCGCGGGCGGGGGTAGATCCTGGAGAGGAAGCGGCAGCCGTCCGTCATGGTCAGGAAGTGGTTCCAGGTGGCAATCCCGTGGGGATGGGCGGCAAAAATGTACTGGCGGTGAGGATCGAGAGGCACGGTGGTGATGACCTGGCCCTGTATCGGTCAAGCGGGCGGAGAGAGGATGAGGGAGAGGATGGCCATGGAAAGTCAAGATCGACGCACCCCAATTGTAAATATAGGCAGCGAAAAAAAGGTATCATTGATTTTTAGATAAGGATATCCAGGGGACTCAGGAAAGAAAGGGAAAGGCATGTGTCAAATAGGGATTCCAAGGGTCGGCTCAACGGCTTCAAAGTATATAATCAACATGCAAGTCCCTTCCTGGTCCATTTCATCCCCTAAATCAGTACATCCTTCGTCAGTTTAATTTTTCCAATACCTTGATGTATCTACAATAAAGACGCCAAACTGGCAGGCGCTGGAACCAGGGCCAGGCTCGCGAGCCATCTCTGTAACTCGTGTCTAGGTAGGTCATCACGTACGCCATGAAGCAGGCTCGATGGAGCGCACTGGCCCACGAGGTAGTAGATGGGACAAGCAGAAAAGTGGCAATGAAGGCCAGGAAGCTTGCATAGCGCCAAAATTGTTTGTTGGGTTTCTGGGATGGCTTGCATTTGAAGGACATGTCGGGGCCGTGAGAGCGATGCGGAGAGGTCACCAGACCCTGCGTCTTCCTGTAGTCGCGTACGAGGGAACGTAAGGGACAGACCATCTCACCTCTGTATGAATGCTGTAATCTTCCCAATCTCTGGCATGACTTGTTCGGGCGAGGGCTGGCTTGTTTGTTTCGAGGTCCCATGCTCCAAGGTCGACGCCCTCGCCTGACGGCTTGAAATTCGCGAGGTTCCCCCTTATGGGGCGAGACGAGCGTGTCTTTCGCACGGAGACCCATTTTGGAACACAAATTTCGACTCCTGCCACTGCATTGGAAAACGTTATCTTGCTTATCTGAACTGCCGTGGTGTACCTTTGACTCTTTCGTGGCGTTTCGCCCTTTTACCCTCCATCCTCAGGAAGTCAAGATACTCCCCCTTCATCACAAGCACTCCCACATGGTCTCCTCGGAGCCCGACACCTCCCCACTTGGGAGCCGCCTCCTTCCGTGGGCTAATCTTGGTGCCTACGTTCTCAATATTGTGGCGACGTCTGTGATTGGAACCAGCGGCAAAGTGGGCAAGACCAATTCAGAGGGTACGTTCTAGTTTGGTTCACAGTGTTGCAGAAATGCTGAACCAGGGAGCAGGATCCTCAGATCCTTGGCCGAACAAGTATTTTTTATTCAATCACTTTTCGATTCTCTGTGAAATAATGATGAAAGTTTCTCGCGTACATGCATCGCATATCTTCAATCCTTGTGGCACCCGCGATAAGCGTATGTAAAGGTCGGCTACCTCCACCCTGTCCCTGTCCTTCAACTTGGTAAACGCCTCTGTATGCGTAGCTCTTTTTTCGCATGTCGGCGCGTAACTCACCGGCATGCCTAGTATTTCAAGTACCACAAAACTCTTTGCGTGCTCAGTCACCCCATAATCTTCCTTTAGTTTGTCTCTGCGACCATT